TCCGGCCACTGAAGGTGAGCTGTTTTCTATCTGGGGGTCTTTGCCCAGCTGCCCAGCATGTGGCTAGCAGGGAATATTCGATATTGCTTCCCCATCTCGCAAGGAAGACGATAGGAATGTTGCTTTGAATAGGCTCAACCATGATGTGAGGCCAAGCCAGATACATAGTTCTCATTACCCTTTTGCTGCGAATTGCAACTTTGCAACACAACGACGGGAAGCCATTGGCTACGTGAATAATTAGAGCTACCCTCATGAGAAAGCATCACCCTCGAAGCTTCCCTGGAGTTGACCTATCACGCACCCACGGCACAAGGGCACCTTCGAAAGTTGAGTTCAAAGGTCCAAACACTCTTCACCGTCTCTTCCATGCCAGATTGAAGGTTCCTTCCGTACGGTATCGACTGACTCTCTCGCCTAACTCTCTATTCTCCCTTCAAAGATGATCCGGGGAACCCTTTCCGTTTTCCAACCTAAAATGTACATCGTGCCTTGCCCCGGTTAAGCTCTTGCCCACTCTACCACTCTACGAGACAAGCACGGTAAGGTAAGGTAAGAGCGGTCACCGCACCGCAACAGAAGGCACAGAAAAAATAAAGGACGGAAGGACAGGTGGGAGGAACGGAGGGTGTCAGGGCCCAGGGGTCACCCCCACATTCCCACTAGTCTCTTTCGGGCTTGGCGGCATGGGACAAGAGTTACACATGCGTTGAGGGTGCGGCAGGTCCCCATCAGCATCGCTCCTGCGTTTTTGTACGCAGTACGTACTCCGTACACTACGCCTGTTGACCGAAGCAGCAGGGACAGGCCCCCTTCTCTTTCCTCCTTTGGTCGTCTTGGCCCGTGCATCACCCGCAAATCTCCAAACTTGTCATCCCAGCACATCGGCCCTTCATCCACACTTTATCCCCGTCATGAAACCTTCAGCACGCTCGCGGCTCGCTCTCTGCCAGCCCGCACTTCACTCTCTCCCTCACAACTTACGCCAGGAACCATAGAACGCCATGCTACCTCTAGCTTGATACACACGCCCGCCCAAACCCTACTCAACAGCGTCAACACCTGTCAGCCTACGTATCGTGATTCCATCCATGACCCAACCCACCTGTCGCCCGAGCAAGGTTCGCACCCAGGCAGCGTCGTTATCCTGCCATCCGCCCCCGTCTCACCCTTCCCCTGTCTATCCCTGAATCCTTCAGATGGATCATGGCTGCTGGATGGCTGTCGATTGCTCTAGCGGGAAGTCTAAGCCATGTGCAGCGCTCTAGTCCAATGACACTGCGTTCTTGGCCCAGAGTCTCTCTGCTTCCATGTCCTCCCTTCTGCGCTGCGTGTCAGACGCTCACACCTCCCAGCAAAGAAGCATTCCATGAGCCCATCCATGCGGTCTTGCACGTCAAAATCGTACGATTATGTTTACAGATCACCTGTCTTTGATTCATCCTACTCAAAATCCCTAATCAACCATATTTCGCTCCCCAGTTCAAGCTTAAAGAGTTCAAGCATCTCGCATTTATCTTCCCGCCATCAGCCCATCTAAATCTTGGCTCAACGTCCTCCTTCCAGCGAGGCTGACGGTTGAGTTCCTGCCTCGTTCTCGTTCTCTCTGGACCACCCACACACCTCGATGCTCCCGACCCCTGGCCCAACATTTGCCTTCCGGCACTCTCGGCATTCGGCACACAATCTCCAACTCTACTCCTTTTCTCACTCAATGCTGACAGACTCGGCATCTACTTTTCACACTTGGATTGACTCGCCCCCAGTTCGACTCGTTCCGCTTCGAGTATCATCGGCGGTCTGAACCTTCCAAGCCCGTCAGCGCTGTCTGGTATCGATGGGGCCTATTGCGAGACGGAAATGACGTGGGCTATCAGCCAGCCTCGCCCGACCCCCCTCGCTTTGCCTGGGTCTCACGATACCGGTAGCGTCGCCAAGCATATTCGAATTGTTTTGCTCCTCCTCTTTGCTGCAGTGGCTGTCGCTCGGAGTTTGACACTACAATGCCAGGTCCGAGTGAAACGAGCAAAGCTGGACATTGGCACGGGTCTCCGCCCTCAAAACGGCTTTCATGCCCGCATGAAGCACCAACCCTACCCACCTGCATGATCGTCACTGACACAGACATTCCAACAACGCCCAAGTCAGCCTCTTCAAGGATCTCAAGTCAATCTCCACATTTTACGCCAAGCTTTACGCCAAGTGGATTGTTTAAGCTTCCTTCGCCGAGCAGGGGTCAACTGACATCAATAAGACCAGCCAGTGAAGAGGTCGATCGCCTGTGTGTGATGCTCGCAACAGCCGGCAACGGGTATCGTACCTAGCAAACACTGCTTCAAACTCAGTTTGCGATCTAAAGTGCCAGCCTTGAAGCAGTTTGAGATCGACAAGAGGAGGGGTTCGCGAGGGGCTTTCAGGAGCCTTGATGGCTCTTGTCGTCGCGGATCCCCTCACTTTCTGATCTTTTTTCTATCATCTGAATCACCGACTCGTGTCGCACTACTAAGCTTGACAATTAGGTCGCTGTGTGGACCGTGTCAGAACGAACTACCCCCAGCTAACGAGGCATCAAGCACAGGTTTGGCAGAAAAACGCATGTGGCTTACCCTGTCACGGGGGGTCCAGATGTATCTGGGGATACGTCAAGCCTGAGATATGGTACACCGTCGAAGCAGGATATCTCTGATTCATCAGATGTGACACCTGCAGCCCGGGTCGCAAAGAGGACCCCACGATGCTCCGCTCTGACCTAGAGAGGCCGGCTCGGAACCTAGATTCATCTGTTGCAGCACTCATCTTGGTCTGATCTCATTTTCTCCAGTGCCCCGCGTCTGTCTGGATTGCCTTCGGACTACGTCCTCCCGCGAGAGTGCTGTTCCTGGATGAAGAGAGATGAAACCAGTGTCCAAGCAGACCCAATTCTTCGCCTGCATACAGATGCGCAGGAAGCGGATGAATGTCGCAGGACCCTATCGTGTTACTCGTGATGCCGATGCGTACTTACGTTCAGAATGTGAGGGTGCGAGTATGTGAGTGCTGAATTGCACCTCAATCTTGATACCTGCCGATGTCCTTCCTCGGAACTGTGTCAGCGGCTCTGATCCGGATCCGAATTCCAGGATTATGCCGTGCGGCATCTCCGCTCCACCCGAGCACTGTGCTGCTGGTTAGACTCTACTGCTAGATCTGAGGAATTGGGAGGCAACCTTATGTGGCCCAACATAATGTCAACGCACGGGTTATCGGAACAAGCTCAACAGCAGCACGCTCACTCGGCGCCAGCGGTCTGGTTTCTTTTCCAACATTGTCCGGTATGATGTGGCGTAAGCTACGACAATTGCCCAAGAGTATGAGGAAATGAATGATTGTCTATGAAACTCTCTTAGACAACGTGACGTGGTGACTCAAAAGTAGAGGAGTTTCATGTGATTAAGGGGCATGTCTCTAGGCAGTATTGTGATCAAAGTGATTGTAGGAAGAGCGAAGACCTGCTGACTTACAATTCATGCCTCACTACAACTGTCGCCTTGCTAAAAATCATCGAAAGGTGTTGGATTACGAGGCAGAAAAGGGGCCCTATTAGATAGTTAGGTAGGGGTGGTAGGTAGGCAGTTTGGGCCTGTGCAGACGGACCCTTCCACCTACTTACACCCACTGAGGGATCGCGGGCTCTGCCCACGATCTTCCCCTCCTACACACTCAATACGCAATAGACCTATACTGACCTATTGACCTCGTCGCGACCGAATGGTCTGACCTGCCTACGTGTATACCAACAAAAGGTCCAAAAGTGAGACAGCCAGGTGGACATATATCAAGCCTTATACCCACGACTGCCTAGTGTCTATCACAAAGGCAACACGCACACTGAATGTCCTTTCGATGAGTATTTTGGATTGCTAGACTTCCTCTGTTCTCATGGTGGCGGACTTAACGGCCGCGTAGGGACCACATCCTAAGCGATGTGGTTACCAGGATTGTCATTAACTGTAGCCCGCACATTGCACCAATGGCTAAGCATGCCACCACTGTCCCATGGGAGTGGTTCAAATACCCGGAAATCATAGAACTCGATAGCACTGACATTGTTGCCCCCGTGATCCTCCGCCACTTTATCCCTTTTTCAAATTCGAAACGATGTACATGAAAAATGAAAAAGATGTACATTTGAATTTGAAGTGGTAGAAAAGCAGCAGTGATCAGAACTTTTGCAATGTAATTCTCAAACCCTATGAATGCCGCATTTTCGAGCGTATAGATATTGATGAAGAATGAAGCAAGTATGAAGAATATCGGTGCTGCTATGACGAATAGTAAGGAATCGTTCCATATTTCCTTACGATCGAATTGGGCCTCGTTAAGTAGCTGGGTGATGATGAGTTGCGCTGTAAGGTACGACTGAGCGTTTTCGATCTGGTCAAGGTCATTCTGCCCATGCATGTGGAAAGTAAACGTTTGATTGAAGGGCGGCGGCACGGCATTTGTTTCAGCTTGTTCTAAGATTGTTCAGTTTTGATTACACCTTATGACAAGTTCAAGAATGCGCTTTAACATACGTTGGTCGGACTGAGATATCTCACCAGTTTGGTTGTATACACCATTGCTCTGCGAACCTCCATGGCGGATTCTATCGGAGGCCAGTGGGCCACTAGGACGACTTGTAGTTGATGATGCCAAAATTTCAACGGCTATCATTGTTATTTTAAGCGTCCCGAGAAGAATTTCGCAGGGATTCCTACATGAACCAGGGGTCGAGCCAGGAGTGTCTGGACGAGATACGCGGATGCCCGATGGTGTTTGTCGACGGGAATTCCAGGGGCGAGCGGTCTTGTACGCCACCTCAAATAGTTGGGTTAAGGGACTAGACAAAAGAACGAGTGAAATCACTTGCCCAAAGGCCCAATCATTATCCTCAGGGTTTCCCATATCGCGTGTACTAGAAATGTTTAGGGTGCCCCAAATCGCAGATATAGAGATTGAGAAGACCTTGAGGTTACAAATTAGACGTTCCGTTCGCAAGTTGAAAGTACTAAAGAGGCAATATCACTCACCTCTGCTATCATGGAAGTGTACAACTGCAATAATATACACAATGTGTGGTATAAGGAAGCTTGTAGTGGTACGCACAACGAAGCTATCAAAACGGCGTTTGACGGGGGTTTTGCTGATAATCTTCGCTTCAATGCACGAAGAAGAGCTTGGTATCCGTGGTCTAGTCTTTCTTCTCCGAGCCAGGAAAATATTTCGGGGATCTTCTCAAAGAGCTTGAATACCCTTATGGTATAACCATAAGTGAGTAAAGTAAGTGACACTACTAGAGAAAAGTACGATTCACTCCTAGTGATCATACCCCCACGGAAGAAGCATATTGCCGGGGATTCGGGAAGAACTCCAGGTGAGCCTGATTTATGTTTTTCGTCTCTTTTAGTCCGAAAGTTAAGTGTTACTTTCTGATCTGTATGTGTAGACTGATTAACAGGTTTACCGTCCACGGTACAAGTGTTCAGCCCAAACGTCACGCATGGGCTGCTGCCATTATGGAAGTTTTGGCTGCGTGACAGCCAGCAATGTAAGTCTTTCGGGGTAGAATTCTTGAAATTATCGCAATCGTCTGGGTATATAATAGTTCCCAGGTCGATGCGATCTGGTGTATCGGGAGATAGCCAAGATGAGAACGTATGCCTAGTGATGAAGGTGAAGTGACCTGTAGGGATTAAACCAACTGACAGTGTGGTAGTGAGCAGAGACATGAGCAATATTCGCCATAAACGTGCGGCCGGATGATTGTTAAGGTACGTTCGTAAGAAAGTTAGCGCCGAGAGATGGGTCATGGTTGAGAACCATGCGAGACAAAGCACCATCTGCCAGTGGTAGGCAGAGAGGCCTTGCGTGAGAGCAAAATACCCGCTCAACATGATGGATAAGCCGGTGACCAACTGCGTATCAGCAAGCGTAAGAATACACTAGCATAAGAAAAACAGTGCATTAGCAAGTGACCTTCAAAAAGATACCATGACAGTGACGGACTTTGTGGAATGCTTGCTCAACACCACTCGTCTCGTCTGGGTGATATCCAAACCAACCCCTGAGACGCTTTGTGTGTTTGTAGATCATTTGATCGGCAGGGTTGGGTTGTCGTGTTGCTATTGGAACTATTTCCTCGCCCTGATTCGTCATCTTGCGATACGGATTTAGGCTTGGATCAAATCCGAACAGATAGTAAGCGATTAATATTAGGATCGTCGACCATGCTGCAATCGTGAAAGCAAGAACAACCTGAGGGAGTCGTAAGAAGCTGCTGACAGACTCATATCAATCTGAAATCATTCACTTACTCCGAGTCCTGTGATGTCGCCGTATGCTTTGAGGGGCTCGGGAATCTGGCTACAACTATAGTTCGGCATGGCTAAGAAGCGACGAAGGACATGAAGGTTGTGGACCGGATTTCGGCTCTAAAAAAGGAAATTGTGGCTTCTTGTAGGCAGGAGTATTACGGCTATGTGCGATCTACATGCAGTCAGCTCTGGTTCTGCGCCGCATGACTACACGCAGGGTGGTCAGGATCAGGCTGTCACCAGGAAAAAAGGATAAATAAAGTATTTCCTCGAATAAACGTAGGCTAGCAACTCGACTGCACACTATAAAGAAGAACGAAGTGTCCGAACAATGATACCGTAAGCCTCAGACTTATTTTTGGCTCCTTGAACGCACATTAACATCTAGCTCGAGACAAAGGCCAGCATCTGCCTATATTACCTGTGGCTGTCTAAACACAAAGCTTTAGTCTTTTGGGGTAGGGGTTGGCTGTGGACAATCACTATATCTCGAAGCACTTCAATAGTCATTTGATTCTGTACAACTTATGATTATTATGCCCCTTTCAGCTCGTGAAGTTGCAGATGTGCATGATTTTGTCTCACCATATTCGAGTTCTTTTCCTGTGTTCCTGAAATCCCACGCCTTGTCTTTTAGTGGTTATTTCTTGACAAATATATCAAGATCTTTCCAACGGCCTACTAATGAGTCAACGATTACGGTAGAGCTTATGGTGGAACAAGGACTATTACATCGAAAAGAAAAGTGTTGTAAAGGAATCAACATGATTGACCATTTAACCCGATTCAATTGATTGGATACTGGATATCGACGGAGCGAATAAAACGGTGAGATTTCGACACTTCATTTGTCTCTTCTGAAATTTTGTGTGTGTGCTTTTGAGGTAATTGGGCAATCACTTTCAGAAGCACTCTGAATCACCAGAAGGCTTGCGGCATCGGCTGATTGCCAAGCATGTCATAGTTAACATGGGAACGGCTCTCAAGAGCGGGAAGAGATGGGTCTGCAATTGTCACAGTGTCACAGTCCGTTTCACCGGAGACGTGGCTGTGCCGCGTAGAATCCTGCTTGGTCACCGCCTTGATCCTGCAGCTATTGAATCGCTTACGTGAAGCAAACAAGTAGCAGGAGTCTTAAAGGAATCGTTTTGGCCAGGAAACGAAAGCCAGAAGCAGGACAACACCCCACATGTTTTGGGAGCTGCGTAGGTGGAAGCGAGAAACAAAAGAAAAAGAGCCCAAGCAACCCGACTGGCCTGGAGCTTTGACAGGTCAGCCCACTCAAGAGTCCAGGCGTTTCTATCCGGCCCACCCCCGGATCTGCACTAGTCCATGATAGGCTAGAGCAGAGGCAATACCCGATAACGATAACGATAGGACCATCCTTCGACCCTCTTCTCCATGGATCCCGTCCGGGCTCCCCTCTATCTCCCCGAAACCCAGCCAGAAGTATAATCAACGAGACTCCAGAGTACTCGAGAGTTTCTTTTCCCAAACCCCACGGCACAATGGTGTCGTCGGCGCCCCCGAAGAAACTGGACGAGCTTCCAGACGAGATCCTGCTGCGCGTTCTTTCCTGTGAGTAAGCCTTTCTTATTCTGCCAAGAGGCAGGCGTGCTACCGGAACTCCTAGCTGATGGCTCGGTGCCCCTCAGTCCTAGAACCCTACGACTTCCCCGGTTTGCAGCTCGTATGCCGAAAGCTCCAGAAGATTTCCCTCGACAACAATCACTGGCGATCGAGAACCTTTGACGAGTCGCCATTTTTAGAGGCTTTGCAAAGACGGCGGCGCATCACTTCCTTTCGCGACGACGACATCACTGACTACCCTCTCTTCAGCAACGGTGCCGTACAACTGAGTCAGGAAGAAGATGGTGACACAGAACCGGACCCCCTCTTCTACGATGAGGAGACACAGGAACAGCGCAAGCTACAGCGGTACAAGGACATGGCGAATTGGGACCCCTCGTTTCCGACAGAGCCGGTCTTTTGGTATAACGAGTACATACAGCGGTATGCGCCGATTGCGACAAGTTGGCTACAGCAGCCCAAAATCCGAGACGGGACCGAGGAGGATACGCTGGATGTCCGAGGGATGGCTCTGTACACCCCGAGTCGAGAAACCGACGAATTACTTGTGGTGTCGCCATTGGATGACGGCTCCATGTGCTTGTGGGACGTAAAGGGTACTAGGGGTCAGAAGGGTGCCACCATCGCCAAAAGCTCAGCGGGCATCTTATATCTCGACGGACCACAGACAATGGGCAGATCACGCAAGATCGATACCGGAGTGACAGAATGCGTCAGCGTCGACAACTTCTCCGACAAGGCCTTTGTCGCAGTACAGGGCCACCTGCTAGAGGTGGATCTCAACCGTCTCGAGGTCGTTGGCGAACAGACATTCGAATGGTCCATCACAGCGCTTTCTTCCGCCGCTCCAGGCTTGCCCTTGACCGTAGGAACCTCTTTGGGAATCCATCTCTACGACTACAGGGCGCGAGTCAGGTCGCCGAGTGAGATCATCGACAGGATAGATGTGTTAGCCGTCGATTCGCCAAGTGGGTTCTTCCAACGTAGGCGAGGCAGCGTTTTCGACGATCCGCTGCCGCCTTATGCTCCTTTATCACAACCTACGCCATTGAGCATCCTGCACCTGCCAAATGCTTGCGATGAGTACTCCTTCTCGGACGACATATATGTCGCAGGTCGCTTCTCCAACATCCTGCACTACGACAGACGCACATTCCCTTCAATCATGGGCTCGATTCATTCGGGAGCTCGACTGGCTAGTCTCGCGTCTCTGCCGTACCCATTCTCCACACTCGACAGCGAGACACGTCGTAGGAGCGACTTGACCGTTGAACAAGTGATGGAGTCGAAGACGAGGGAAGGAGGCCGGACTTTGATCGCCGGAGGCGAGTATAACACCAAGGGTTCTTTGGAGTTGTACGGCTTGTGCCCACGGCCAGGAGGTTCGTCTGCAGATCTCATGCAGAACTCCACCATGAAGAATCGTCAAACGTCCTCCCAGTCCAAGATTCTCTCTGTCGCCAACCAGGGTACTCGCATCGTATTCTCGGATGGGTCGGGACTTCTCAAGTGGTTCGAGCGCGATGGCTTCACTGAGGTGAGACGGCACAAGATCGGACACAGCGAGGTGGATGAGCGTCCATCTCTATTCGCCTCTATGCCTGGTTCTGATGACCTCGCGAGGAAGATCCTGTCGACGCAAACGCGTGGCGGACAAGATAATGTTAACGATGATGACATACTATTCTGGACAGGCGAGAAGTTGGGCCTCGTCAGCTTCTCCGGCAAGCTCGGGTTTACCGCAAGCGACTTTGAACAGCCAGAGCCTAAATCGGAGGAAGAGGCAAGAGTAGAAGAGGCCGAGAAAGAGTATGGCGAGAGGATGAGGATGGCTCTGGAGCGACAGGCCGACGACGTTCGTTTCGTGCGAGGCTTAGGAATGGGGCTAATGGGGTAATGGTGGGCAATGTAAGATGGCACGTATGACGAGCGTTCTCATGACTGGCAATAGGGATATGGGTTAATGAGGATCCGTTGTAAGATCCGTTCTGATAAGCCGTAGCGGCTTGACGATAAAGACAGTTGAAGAGGCATCAAGAGACTTTATTCAAGATGTTGCGCAACGCCTAACCCACCAAGCCGCAAAGTAGACTTTTGATTAAGAGTGATGAATATGTGAGTGGACAGCGTGCAGAGCGACTAAGCCGACATCGGCGCGGATCGTCATGATTACCACGAGGTGCCGGTAGTGTACGGAGTAGGTAGTAGGTAGTCGGTTCGATGGCGGCTAGAAAACTCTAAGCGTGAAACAAATACTTCAGCGCAGTATTCAGCACAGTCTGGGACGAACCATGTCCAGGCCTTAAATTGACCTTATGCGCTGTACATAGACTCCAAATTTCTGAGATGGCGGGCACCTGAGAAGATTTTATCTTCAGGCAGGTTATGAACGGCACACACACAAAGCGACCCCTCTTTCGCCAATGGGCTGGAGGGGTAAGAAAAGCTATGACCTCAAAGCCGTTATTCAGAACAGGGACACACATCCGGATAGTCTTTTTTGGGCAGAAGGTTCCAAGATAATCTCCCGCTCTTCTGCGGGATGGACAGGGGGCGAGACGGCTCACTGAGGTGGAGGATATGAGGAGTGGAGATTCGCTTAAAGGGCGCTAAAGCAATGTTGGGCATTACGCGGAACCTGGCGCCACCGATTCTCCGGGCTGAGGCTGTGCTTGGTCGTTATGCCGCTTGCGATTGGCTGATTGTACCTTCCAAGCCCCCTCTAGAACTAACGGAGACTGGTCGTCAGGCACCACTTGGACAGAGCAGTCGGCCAACGTTTGGATTTGGATCTCGGGCAAGAACCAGCCACACTGCACCTGCGTAATCCCTCCGTCCGCACCGCAACGTCACCTTTGGTGCGCGCTCTTTCCAGTCTCTCACTCAGCAAGCAACAAGCCAGACGGAGAAAAAATATCCAGGCAGAGAAGCAAACCTTTCGCTCTTTCATCACCAGCGCGCATTCACGAATTTTCCAAAGCTTGCTTGCGCAAACCATCAACAGATACCGGCATTCCCTCCATTGAGAACTGCCCAGCATGGTGAGACGCTTCATGCCCCGCGCGCGCGCACCGCTCCGATTCGGCTGCAGCGACTCCAAAAATCCACGACCAACGACCACGAGAAGGAGAGAGGACTGACCGTTTGCGCTTTCAATATTTCTAGGGTATCTCACGACGTCCCAAGGACAAATCCGCAAAGACTGGCCCCGCCGGACCGTCCGGAGGGGCTAGCGGCGGCAAGCCCAAGAAGGCCACATACGAGGTCACGAAAAAGAAGGAGATTGGTGTTTCGGATCTTACGTTGCTCAGTAAGGTGTCCAACGAAGCCATTAACGACAATCTCAAGAAGCGATTCGAGGGCCAGGAGATCTATACCTACATCGGCCATGTGTTGGTGTCAGTCAACCCCTTCCGGGACCTAGGTATCTACACCGACCAGGTACTCGACAGCTACAAGGGCAAGAACCGTCTCGAGAT